AGAGTTTCCAGCACACTGAGAAAATGAAATATGTATAGAAATAATCATTATACTATCAAAAAATGCAAGTATGTTAAAAGAGATAAAGATACATACTATTAAAGATTAAAGGAATTCTAATCTCTAGGGTGAAGTTTCTTTGGAGAAACTTCCTGGAGAAGGTGTAAATAAAATGAAGTCCTTAAATGTATGTAAATTTATGGAAACATAATCAAAATAATGGCCTTTTCAGGGAGGGCAGGGAATCTACAAAGAGCAAAGATGTAGTGAAGAGAAATCTCAGGAACTGTTTGGGTAGTAGAAAGAAGTTTACTTTTATTGGAATAAAGGTTTTTGAGGGTACATCGTAAAAGAAAAGTAGAAAATTAGATTGAGTTTCATAAATTGCTGAACTTGAATACCAGTTTATTTGGTAGAAAATGACAAGCCATTAAAGATTTTCAAAGTGAAAAGATACGTGATCAGATCCATGCTCTAGGAATATAATTTTGACATTAGAAATTGAAGTAAAATTAGATAACATGAGACTGGAAGCAAAGAGAACACCGAGGAGAGGGCTCTCAGGGACTGTTCTGCACACTCAGGCTGCCACTGGCAGTTGTCACATGCCATAGTGGCTGGAGGGGAGGACTCAGCTAACCTTGGTTATTGAGTGTGTTCTCAAAGGTTACCATCAAACGATTTAGCAAGAATAACCTGAGAATAACTGTATCATTTTTAAAAATGGCAAATGCAGGGGAAACAAGTTTGTGTAAGGGAAAAAGTGATGAGCACCATTTCAGACATGCTTAGCTTAATATGCTTTGGGAACACAGCTAGCAATCAATTTGTGATGTTCACAAGAAGCTCTGGAGTTGATCCTGGAGTTACCTGCACAAGGATGGGAGAGAGGGACTGTGGAGGACTTAGCTGACTCAGAGACCCCGTTTCCCATTCCAGTTATGAACACATAAATATAACAGCTTTTAAAACATATTGCCAAGCTCAGAAATGGAAAGAAAGTCCCCAGGTTTCATCAGAGAAAATGTGGTAGTCACGCAGATTGATACCGCAGTAGCATATGAGGTAATCTATACCAGATATAATTCCTAGCGGTGTGGAAATGGGATTTTAATGTCAATATGGGAAAAGATAGATGTTCTGCTAAGGCACGGATTTGGAACTGAGTATTTCTTGAAGTCTGGCAGCACCTCCTTGCCAATGCAAAGTCACTGGAACCTATGCCAGGTATAATTATAGGCTGTGGATTTATGACACATGAGTATTGTGGAAATGCAAATTGAGAAATTAAGGTAAAAATTGGTTGAGGAACTGGAAAATTCCATAGGGTAAGGGCAGAAAGCAATCACATCCCTTAATAGGACATTTAAATAACTCAAGACTCATGAACTTATACAGAAACTAAAATCACCATGAAAAGGCATTCATAATAAAAACTATAAGCCACATGAGGAAATAAAGTACCTTAAAAGAAAATAAACAAAGGGGAAGAGAAAACAGAAGAACATAAATAGAAAAGGCATAAAAACAATCTGAAAAGGAGATTGTAAATTAGCTGCCTAAAATTTTTATAGAAACAAAGGAAGAACATAATGAAAGAATAGGATTTGACAAAAAAAAAGAATGAGGATTTGACAAAAGAAACGAATATTATTTCCATAAATAAAAATAGACTTATTAAAATAAAAGAATTAACAACTGCATCGAGCAGCGGATTACATGCAGTTTAAGGAGGAAATAGTAACCTGGAAGTACGATTTGAGAAAATTACAAGAATGGAGTCTAGAAAATTAAATTAATAGAAATTTTGAAAGCGAAGTTAATAAAGAATGTCTAATAGAATTTCCAGATGGAGCAAACAGAGAAAATAGATAGCAGAAATATGTTTTAACAGCTAGTACCTTGAGAAAACAATTATTGTTAATATTGAAGAAGTATAGCAAGTGTTGAGATACCTAGTAGTAAAATGCATATTCGATACGATCAAATAATCCTAAAAACAGTAGAGAAAAAATTAGATTACTATAAAGGAATTATGGATAAATGGATTAAAGGATAAATGAACTTATAGTAAAATTCTTATCAACAAGATCCGAGACCAGAGACTGAGAAATAATGTGTTCAAAATGACAAGATAACTGTTCACATAGAATTCTATATGTAGTCAAACTATTATTCAAGAAAGAAGGTGAAATAAAACCATTTGCAGACAAAATAGTTTACTAAAGAATTCAGTTCAGTCAAAAGGACATTGAACCCCAGAGGTAAGGAATGGGATGAAAAAAAGAAACGGAGAAGTCGGAGTTTGGGACTTCAGAAAGGTAGAAAATTATTTGGACTAGGTCTGTGCGAAATTCAACCACCAGACAATCAAAGATGAATAAAAATGTTGTGGCATAGTAGTGAGAAAATTCCTGAGACTATATCCTGTCAGGTCTGTGTAATATCATTTTTTTCACAAGGGAATCAATAGGTCGATCCAGGTGAGGCAGTATTGTGAATAGTTGACAGATTTTCAATCTTGGCAGAATAATAGAACTTTAAAAGTTAAAAAATATTGGTGGTTGGATTTCATTCCTTGAGTTTCTGATTTTGTTGGTTTCAAGTGTGTCCTAAGCATCAGTTTTTCTTTGATTATTAAGCTCCCAAGACGATTCTTCTGTGCAGCCAAGGTCGAGAACCATTGTAATAGATTATCTCAGAGAAGAGCAAAAGCCCAGATTCTGGTTTTGGTCACTTGACAAAGCAGAGAATGCAGCTCCTTTTCATGATAGTGTACAACTTTTCACTCTAATGAAAAATGGCTTACCTTTATTAGCAAGGATTGCCAAGCTTTTTCTACAGAAAGAGTCCCAGACTATAATATTTTAGGTGTTGTGGGTCAGATGGTCTCTTGAAGCTACTCAACTCTGCTGTACAAGGTAAAAGCAGCAATAAATAGTATTATATGTGAAGGGATGGGCATGGCTGTGTTCTAGTAAAATGTTATTTACAAAAGAGTGATGGGCAGGATTTGGCCTGTGTGCCTTAGTGTGCCAACCCCTGCTTAGAGTATTCAAGTACAGTTAAGGAAACATAGTTGAGAACCATCACATTAGCTTTGGAGAAAGTCTCCCTATGTGTGAATAGGCCAAAGAAGTGGCCACTCCTAGGCTAGAAAAAAGCCTATGAAGATGAAATGCAACCCAGTGTGAATACTGAGAGACCGTAAGCCTGGAAAGGTCTTCGAGGGAAAACTTGAGTAAATGAAAATGCCTGTGTGGAGAGTTAAGGTTCTGACAATAAGGGGGTAGCTGTAGCCCAGTAATAATTTGATAATGCAGGAGAGGTTAGTTTGTTTAGTTTTGTTTTGTATTTGTTGTTTTATGTTTGTTTTGTTTTTCAAGTTTAAAGTGAGAACATGTAAATGGATGGCTTGGATTTTCTATTCACGCACATCGAGATGTGTTGGGTTTAGAATAGATGTACTCTTATTTTTAGCATGTTACTGTAATTATTGCATCTGTTTTAAGACTTTTTATCCTTAGCCATCCTTAGCCACATAAGAACATTTTCTTTTCACACGCTTTTATTGAATTTAGACAGATTATCTAAACAATAAACTTAGGTTATAGTAACTGAAGAGCAGGGAGATGGGTTTCCTGTCAAGCATAACTTTCAAATTTTACTTGAATTTGTCCAATTTTTACCTCCCTATCTTCATAACTACTTGACTGGATTATGGAACTACTTGTTTATTTTAATACCAAAACATAAGTTTTATTTACATTTTAGTACTTTTGTAATTTCTGCAACCTAATTTGTTTACATCTTATAATCAGTGGATATGTAATGAATCATTGAATATGTATTTTATTTTTCTACTCCAAAGACTGCTATGAAATTCATAGTGTATCTTCCAATCAATATCATCTTAGAATCAAGGAATTATAGTATTATCTTCTCTTGTGTTTTTTGCCTCCACCTTTCCTCTGGCAACTACTTCCAGTGTTCCCATGAAGTTATATTTCTGGGAAACAAATCTGATCTTGTCACTACCTTACCTAATAATTTTGAGTGATCTCAAAGTCCGGGCTCCTTGGCATGGCATTCAAAGGCTTTGCTATCTAAAGCCTTTCATATTTTGGCCCAAAATATTGGATCTGCAGCATCATTCCCCACCATCCCTCTCTCCCTCATGTGGCTTGCTTCATTCCTGACCATCAGACACATGATGCATTATTTTAATACAAGTGTTGTAAAAATCTCTGAAGAAAGTTTAATAAAATAGGATTGGTGTTGAACTGAAAATAGCTAAAACAGGCTTTTCCTAAAGCTTAATAATTTAAGATGGAAATGGATCATTGTCTTTGCAGGAAAGGCTTGACTTTTTATATTAGAGAGAGTTGTGAAGAAGTTTATAGAATATCTTTATTCAGGGACTTTTAAAACACACTAGATACTCCTCTGTTTGGAATGATTTAGGTAAACCCATGAGAAATAAACAAGATGAACTCTGAGGCTATGCCCAGTTCTAGGAATTTTGGGTGATTAATGACTGTATCTAAATGAGGCCAGAACATACAGATGGGAGGAAAGAGAAATTCAGTAAGTCTTCTACATGCTCTCTATGTTTCCAACGACCTGGATATTTAACAGTTGAAAGTATGTAATTGTTTAAATAAAACCGTATATTTCACTGGATATTTTCTGCTTTTAATGTTAATATGTTTCTATAGTATAAACAACTTCACAAGATAATCACTTGTTAGTTTATCCCCACCTGCCATAAAATAACATATAGTAAATTATAATTATTATAAAGATAAAAAGTATGAGTTAATTGAAAATACTCCAAAATTGTTTTTGTTTGGTTTAAATATAAAATAATAATGAAATAATAGTGCAAAATAAATTTTCTTGATGCATTTTTGGCTAATTCTTTATTTTTATAAAATGGAAATTAGGAAATAGCCTATCTACTGTATGCATATTTATAAGACTCTGTATTTCTAATTTAGGTATGTGTCTTGTGCCCTGGGCTGTCCATATGAAGGAAGCATTACACCACAAAAAGTAACAGAAGTAAGCTACCTCTCCAGCCTTTTTGGTTTATGGTAAAATGATGTATCTTATTTTTAAAAGTGGGCTATTTTCCTTACTGTTTATTACATCTGCATAACAAAGACTAAAGAGAACCATGGAATGAGGTACAATCCCCGAAGACATGTTTGATCACTTAAATAATAGTTTCATTTTAACACTGAAGACCTATATACTGGCTATAACTTTTCAAAGTGAGAAGACTGTTGAGTCTTATCATTTGGGTGCTCAGAGGTGGAAGGAATAAAAAACATCTGTTTTGTTTTATAACACAGTGAGTGACGTTTCTACTTTCCATCAGAATGTCTGGGCGGTTTGTGTACACACACTGAAACTTTGTCTTGGTTGCTTAGGTAGTGTCCCCTTTTTTTCTTCCTGCATACTTTGGCACTTAGAGTATATACTGCTTCATTGTTTTTGTTCTTTTGTGGTCGTGTAGATCTTACTGCTGTGATTAGGTTGCTGTTATATCAGAGCAGTTTTAGCAAAAGATTATAGTTAAGAAGGACTTTCTTATTGAAGTTCATTTTCTACTTCCTGTCCTTGATTATTAGTTTATACCAATAAGTACAAAATGCTCTATCTTTGAGATTGTATTAGACTATCTCAGAAATTCATTTGTATATAAAGTATATTAATTGTATATAAGTATATTAATGTGTTGTTAAGGCTATTAATTTTGACAAAACTAGTAATAGGGCACTGAAGCAGTGAAGATGGCATTATTAGAAAGGCCACATTTAAGCAGGATAAACTTTCAGTTCAGCTAAAGCCATTCCTCTTTTGTGCATTCATTTGAACATTTTACTGCAGATTTTTCAAATGAGAGATATCCTATCATCTATTATTTAAACAAGACCCTTGTACACAGAGGCAGATATACTATGAAATAACGAAGCTTAGATTTTGCATGGCCCCTTGCATGGGACCTTTCCAAGATTCTGTCATTAATTTGCATTCACCATTATGTACTCTTTTCTTAAAGAATACCTCCAAAAGAATATAAATTCAGGCCCCACAAAACCTGGATCCACTTTTGCCTAAGACCAGAGTTCTTGGTTTTGTTCTGCACCACCTATGGATGAACCACACATGCCTTGGGGCTCTCCATTCCTGCATCAGAAGGCCTGCCGTGCTGCAGGAGAGAGTCACAACAGGCAGATTGGAAGCACTATGGTTTCATGATCAGCAACCCTAAAGTAAAGGAGCCTTCCGTGCTATTGTAATACATTTTGTGGTCAACTCACTCTCTTCTCTCTAAAATTCTATTTCAAACTGTGATTACTGTGTTCAAGCCTCTAGTTTTTGCTTTTTAACACACTGTCCTTTGCATTTGACTTTTTCCCTCCCTGGAATGCTCTGTGCATTTTATATTTCAGCGACCTGGAACCCACTATTTGCATTTGTTAGTCTTCCTGGAACATTCTTCTCAGAGCCTTCCTTCTCACCCTTTTCAACAAGTTAATGCATACTTTATCTCTAGTTGTCACTTAGACTCTTTCTGCTTGACAGATCTAGGTCAATTTCTCTTGCTACATGCTGTTAGAACCCTGTTTCTTTCTTTCAAAATTCTAATTTTAGCTTGTATTTATACATTCCTCTGTGAGATTGACTAAGGTGTGTCTTCACTTGACTTTGGCATCCATAATAGCACGAGCCATGTCAATATTTATTTCCCCATCAGATCTCAGCACCTAGCACAGTGCCTGGTATAAAGCAGACACTGGAGAAATGCATGTTGGAAGAATGAATGAATGAGTACCATGTGCCAGATTGTGTATAAAGTGACTTCTATACATCCTCATTTTCACAACCAAATGTGTCATTGCTAACATTGTTATTATTATTGTAATTTTTTTAAATGAAGTAACTAAGGCTTAGAATATATGCTCAATGACAGTGTTTTGTGGTCTGTATTTTACAGATTAGGGACTGAGGCTTCAATGGGTTAATCTTCTGCCTAGTATCACATGACTAGCATTAGTGAAAACTAAGATTTAAATCCAGGCCTCTCTGTTTCCAGAACCCATGTCTTTGTCAAAATACCACGCTGCCTTTATGCAAATTCACGTTGCTCTTCCAAAGTAACACTAGTTATTCAGCTGGAACAGACCTTGCAATTTGCCTCACACAAGTGCCGGTGTTTATCAGAAAAATTAGGCCAGAAGTACTTTGACTCTGTCAATTGCAAAGGTACTTAGTGACAGAGCTAAAGTTGGTACAATTGACCCTTGAACAACTCAGGGGTTAGGGACCCCAAACCTCCACATAGTTGAAAATCCAGGTATAAATTTTGATCCCCCAAAAACTTAACTACTAATAGCCTACTGTTGACTGGAAGCCTTACTGAAAACATAAACAGTCAATTAATACATATTTTATATTTTGCAAAAAGCGCAAGGTTTTCATGCCTGCTGGCCTTACCTGCAGTGACAGCCTCACAAATTAACTTTCCTTTCCTTTTTTTTGTTTTTTGTCCTTACTCTAGATCATTGCTCTTAAAATAGTGGGCAACCACAGCTGTAGACTTCAATCTGTGATATATATCAAGCAAAGCTACTTTTTCTTGTAATGTCATGACTTTTCTCTACTTCTTGGGAGCAGTTCCAACATCACTAGTGGCATTTCTCATGGGTCTCATGGTGTTATTCAAGGCTGATGGTGTTGCATTAAACACGAAACATATTTGAGGACATCAATATATCACTTTTTACTACGATATGCAATTTACTAGAGAGACAAACTTAAGATGCAGAGATTAGCACCACATGGCACTTTAAGTGGCTATCCCATCACTTAAACTCACCACAATAGGAAAGGACATGGTTATGGAGTTCTTACAGTACAGCAGTGTGTACTGCAGTTAATTTTATGCAGTTATGATTTAATACTGTGTGTTTGTGTTTGTTTACATTCCTCTTGACTGAGAATGGTGCCATGGACAGTCTGTGTTTTTGTGCATATGTTTTGATACATTTTAACTTTTTATAATAGATTTGTATACATTTTATGGTAGTAAATAATAAAATAGTCTAGTTTCTACATAAATTTTGTGCATTGATGACTTTTTCTTTATTTTTTCAATATTTCTAGGCTACATAGTTTTTCTGCAAGATTTTTCAAATTTTTGCACATCTTCAAAAAATTTTCAGTATATTTATTTTAAAAATCCATATAAAAGTGAGCCTTTACAGTTCAAACCTGTGTTGTTCAAGGGTCAATTGTATTGGTATCTCTGGACTTTAAGGCCTTGAGAAATATTACTTCCAAAGTAAATCTATAATATTTCTGTTTGGTTAAGGTGTTGAGAAATGTGAGCATTCCACAATTGAAATTGTGGCTTATAATTTCATATTGGAACATATATTATAGATAGATATGCCTCTAAAGCAAACTCGAATATTAGAAAAAGATAATCACAGTAATGTCATTCAAAGTCTTATATAATGTGTAGAATATAATGAGCAGAGAAAGACCAGAAAATGCAATGAACATATATGATTTTCATGTATATAACTGATTTTAGTTGTGATTTTTATGTCTAGATGGTGTTGGCTGAGGAACAGGGGGGTTAAAGTCTGTTCGTTTCCATTGTTTTACTAACACTTCACCTTTCTCAACAGGTGTCTAAGAGATTGTATGGCATGGGCTGTTATGAGATCTCTCTGGGAGACACGATTGGAGTGGGAACTCCAGGGAGCATGAAAAAATTGTTGGAAAGTGTCATGAAAGAACTCCCACCAGGGGCTCTTGCTGTTCACTGTCATGACACGTATGGACAAGCCTTAGCAAATATTCTTACAGCTCTTCAGGTATTTTGTATTCTTTATGTGTTATGTGTTAGAGCATGCATCCTCATTGGCCGTATAAACATGTCGAGAGCTTTTTGAGATAATATTTATCATGCTATATTTATAAAATGTTATGAATATAATGTTTAAACAGTGTCAGCCATGTGATAGGCACTCAGGAAGTATCTGTAAATTCCACGTCTTTTAGGGCAATAGAGGTTTCTTATTACTATTAATTGGATTTGATAAAATCCATGATCTCTTCTTTTTAAAGCACTAATCCTAGTAGAGCTATGTCTGCTTGTTTCAACTCCCATATGCTCTCAACCATAAAATTTAATAGACTTAAATATGATGTTATGTGGAGAGCATAAAACACAAAGATAGTAGGATGTACCGTTGTAATCATGGAACCAATGCTCTTTTTGGTAATTTGAGGCTCAATAACAGGAAGATACGGTGCTGAAATATAGAATATTTTGCTTAAAATGCTTTCCATGTGTTGGCAAGCTTACTTTTGACAGATTCCTGATTTTTTTTTTTATCAAGTATATTCCATATGGTGAAATGAAGAGATCTAAAAAGTGGGAGGATTAAGAATTACTTATCGAATTATGTTATTTTAAAAATATTTATTTAAAAGAATAGATAGTAATATTTTAAGAGTATTACTTTAAATTAGTATCAGTTTCTTAAATGCAGCTAAAACAGAATTTGTTTGATGTTCTTAGAACCCAAGATTTTGACAACTAAAGATAAGACTATACGAAAGCTTTTTGATGAAGCTGAAAATCAATATGTAAAGCTTAATGTCACATTCCTAAAGTGTACAGTTGTTTGGCAGAAGTTTAAAAAAAAAATGAGAAGATCAAGCTTCACAAGGGCTTATTTTGACTTTGTTAATATGTGTGTACAAATCCTTATTTATCCTCTGGAAGCAAGCAAGCAACATTCTGTTGAATCAGAGAAAAGTGAAAATATTATCCAATGAACAGTCTTTTAGGTGTGGGAATTTTTACAATTTTCCTTCCTTAGGTAGTCTAGTTTCTGAAACAATAGAAAACTAGGCAGCACTTCAGATTTCTGTGTTCAGCTGCAACTGTAACTTATTAAGTGTTCCTGAGCAAGATCCTGAAGTGGGGTCTCCTCTCTCTCTCTCCCTCTGTCTCTCTCTCTCTATCTTGTTTTTTTATTTGTGTAGCATATTTATTATACGATGAATCATAGTTCAGCTCTTTGGGATAAGGGGCTATAGTGCAATATCGGGGAACCCAAACACCTGCTTTTGGACTCTATTTGCCTTTTGAAAATGCCCAATACAAAAACATTGCTAATGCCCTGTTGTGATTTTTTTTTTTTATTTCAGGGTATTGTTAGGGTACAAACATTATGGTTCCACTTTATGTCTTTGCCTCACCCAAGCGAGGGTTAAAGGCATGCCCTTCCCCCCTACAATGCTCCCCGTGTCCTTTAGTTGTGGGTTTACCCCCTCATCCTCCTAATTCCTGGAGAATATTACTGCTATGTGATCACCCTAGTGTTGATCAGTTAGTACCAATTTGATGGCGAGTACAAGTGGAGCCCATTCTTCTGATCTCGTGGTGCCTCACTTTGGATAATGGGCTTAAGTTTAATCCAGGAAAGTATAAGAGGTGCTAGATCACTGTCATTTCTTATGATTGAGTAATATTCCATTGTATACATATACCAAATTTTAATAATCCACTCATGGATTGATGGGCACTTGGGTTGTTTCCACATCCTTGCAATAGTGAATTGTGCTGCTATAAACATTCAGGTGCAGATGTCTTTATCACAGAATGTTTTGTGCTCTTTTGGGTAGATGCCTAATAGTGCTATTGCTGGGTGAAATGGTATTTCTATTTTTAGCTCTTTGAGGTATCTCCAAATTCTTTTCCACAGAGGTTGCACTAATTTGCAGTCCCACCAGCAGTGTAAGAGTGCTCCTGTCTCTCCGCATCCTTGCCAGCATTTGTTGTTTTGGGATGTGATTTTAATGGCTAAGGAAGATTTATCCGAGGAAGCAATTGCTAAAATCAGATCTACAGAATGAAAAGGAACTAACTCCCCAAAAGAGAGTATATATATTTCGTATATGTGTGTTAAAAGAATGTTTCAGGCTGATGAAACATTTGGGCAAAAGGTCTTGGGGGAGAGGAGGAGTATGCCCGAGGAATTGAAAAAAGACTAATGTATTCAGAGAAATTAAGGTTTATAAAATTTGTTAAGTTAGTTGAATTCCATTATCTCTGTTTACAGAGAGATGAGGACTGAAATTCTGGGGCATTTGCCCGTCCTGTAACAGGCATATAGGGGGACAGGACACAACCTTGGGCCCCAACAAGATGGGGAACATGGATGAGAACCTGTATAAGGCCAGGATTCCCCCCAAAACCACACCCTCAGTCAAAGGGTGAACTGCAAAAAAAGCCACCCCATGAAGGGAGAAGGCAAGCACATTCATTTCTCATGGCCTTGTCCATGAGTGGAGGAGAAATGCAAAGCCTCCCTTTATACTCATAACCTTTCATAGACCCTCATGTGGGTTTAGGGTTCAAATTCACATTGCCTGCAGAATTCGAAAGACCTAAACAGATTAATTGTTTTCAAAGGGTGATGGGTCAGTAGCATCCTCAGGTGCCAAGAAGAATCTCTCTGTTCTAAGGAACAGATCTTCAACTTCAGCTGAACTATTTGGGGTGTGTGTGTGTGCATGTGTGTGAGGGGAATGGTTGATATTCTACCCTTTAGCGGCGCCTGCGGTAGTTAGTAAGAAAGTCTGCTTCAGCATCTTTAAATAAACTGTTTTTCTGTTTTTGTTCCTTTTTTTTTTCTTTTACCATATGCACAAGTCCTGCGTATGTATGGGAGGCAAGGGGACAGCGGGAGGCAGGGAGCCTGGGAAAGCAACAGTGTACTTGCAGCTTTGTGTTACATTGCCCCAGAGCTTAATTTATAGCCACAGTGTAAGTACGTGAATAAGAGGGTAACAGTGGCTCGTATAATAAGCAACATGATGTGAGGCCAGAGAGGATACCATAAAGGAGCAACTGAGGAAATGGTCAAAAAGTAGAGATGTGCTGAGGAAACTAAAAGCTGTAGAGGCTTTTTGTTTTTTCTGCCATCTGCTTTCGTGTGGTTTGATAAGACATGGACAGTGTAAGAAAGAAATATGCACCACTGATTTCTTGAAACTGTGTAACTGAGACAATCTGTAAATGTTTTGTAACTTTAGTGTTTCTCGAAGACAGCCAAATGTGGTACTGGAATGTCACTGCAAACACACGTGTGCTGGTCCCTAGCAACACCCTTTCTCACCCCGTTCACCTCCCCAATAACAGCAACAGCACCAACAACAAAAACACAACAGTCGAGTTTAACGTTAGAGGAGGAGAAAAAATGTCTTGGAAAAAACTGTCAGTGTTTAAATAGAAGGAGAATCAGAGAAAATCCAACTTCATTATGAACAGGGCTAACCTTGGATTCAGGAAGCAGAGGCCATACTTCATTCTTTTTTTTAAATGGAATCTTTGAAGTGGCTCCTAGTAAAATTGGTGGTGGATGTGGAGTGGATATCATTTGCTTTAATTTAGGGGTGGAGAAACCGTTTACAGTGCTCCAAACTGGAAGTTAATATTAAGGCAAGGAGACATGTAATAAGTGGAAACTTGGCCACAATGATAGGAAACAAATGAGAGTTATAAATGGAACGTCCCCCTCAGTCTGGAAAGCACATACTAATCATGTAGTAGAAGGATCTTTCTTGGGTTCCCAGGTTTTATTGTGTTTTTTTATTACTTAAACATATGACTTACAGTACTGGAGATGATTGTATGGAAGTCAAGAATTCATAATTAACAGATATTATTTAATACAGGGAAATTATTTTTGAGAGTATAGATTTAAGTATAGGATATTTGTAACCACTCAAAACCAAAAGAACAAGAAAATGAGGTGACAAAAAGTACAACATTTTAGTGACGGAAGAAACAAACGTGGCCCAGTATACCTGTCTTAATTTTTTATGTAAAAATTTAGCTTCACCTTTCCGCCAAGTACCTAAGTAAAACAAGTTAACAAATTGTTTAATCTATTTAACAGAAAAAAATTGCTCAGTCTCTATTTTTCTCCACTGAAATTATTTGATCTTCATAATTGGGTAAAAACAGAATAAACCAAATGAAATCCAATACCACAAATAATAGTTACATGTTAATTGGTAGCATAGAGACAAAGAGGGACAGGCAGTATTTAAATTTCTTCTTAAATACTAGTTGCCTTTTTTTCCTGTTAAACTTAATAAACTTCTAGCTAATGTGCCTTTCCCCATAATGTTTTCCATATGTTTATTATTTTAGAAAGACCAAATTATTTACCTAATTTTTACATCAAAAGCATTCATTTTTTGGCCGGGTGTGGTGGCTCACGCCTGTAATCCTAGCACTCTGGGAGTCCAAGGCGGGAGGATTGCTCAAGGTCAGAAGTTTGGTACCAGCCTGAGGAAGAGTGAGACCCTGTCTCTACTGAAAAATACAAAGAAATTAGCCAGACAACTAGAAATATAGAAAAAAAAATTATCTGGGCATGGTGGCGAGTGCCTGTAGTCCCAGCTACTCGGGAGGCTGAGGCAGAAGGATTGCTTGAGCCCAGGCATTTGAGGTTTCTGTGAACTAGGCTGACGCCATGGTACTCTAGCCCGGGCAACAGAGTGAGACTCTTGTCTAAAAAAGCATTCATTTTTTTATGTGGACTCTTTATATTGACATGTTTAAATGCCACCAAATGACAAATCTTTCTTCATGACATTTGTTTTTGAGTTTCTTGAGAAATTTTTTTTTTTAATTCCTATTGCTGGCCAGATAAGCCTCTCTGTTTCTCAGTTTTATATTTGTAAGAAAAGATGTAATAATGTCTGCTTCCCTGAATTTTGCAAAATTGAGATGAGATGCAGAATTTCTAAAATGACGCCTTGATGACAACGCACTCGATTGCACTTGTTT